TTATCTTACGTACAGTCGGTTTCTTTGTCGTTTACCTTTGACAAACAACTTTTCCTCTTTTAACTAAGTCATTATCGAGTCTGTATTGAAAATGGTTATACCAGCTAAGTATACTTTCCCTAATTTTATCATCTACAATCATTATATCTAATATTTTCCTCACACGCTTATTATTTATCTGATATTTTCTAACTACTTCTATCATTCAACATAACATGAATGCGCTGTACTTTCGTGTCTTTTTCAAAACCCAACACTCCGGTTGCATACAACATTACTAGCCTAATACTATTCTATAAAAATTTTGTTTTAATTTATTTGGTATTCGTTTGTCGCAAAGGACACCACTAACTATTTTGTCCACACTGCTCTTATCTTATTTACTGTATCACCATCTATCTTCATCAAATCTACTTAACATACATTATGTTTTACTTTTACTAATTTTTAGGCCTCTTGATTCTAATAACTTCGTATTTCTAATTTTGTTGCTGAAACTTCTTTTGAAGTATCTATTAATACTATGTCATTTACAAATAACATACTGGATGGAATGTTTTCTTTAATATTTTTTTTATTATTTCGTTTGACACTATTACAGATAGGTATAGACTCGATATCGATCTTTGGTGTAGACCCACTTTTATAAGAAATTCACTAATTTTTCCACATGTACTTTTAAGTCGAATTAATATCTCATTATACATAATCTTGTATAAGATTTGTAAATTTTACGTTTTCTTTGTAGAGCTCACCACGTCCTTGTTTTATTAAATCTATGGCTTCATACTGGATCAACCTGCATAATCCAAAGTGGTTATAAAATTTTGTTGTTTCGTCATCTCTGCCAATTATCGTTCCGGAGATTGATATTTCTTCATCTTTACTCAATTATAGTTCTCATAATTTTATTATATGATTCATTATTTTAATTCTTTTATAACTTTCACAATTTCATTGTATTGATGTTTCTCTTATTACTAATGGCAAAAATAAAATAAAATTGCAGTGCAAACCAAAAAGACAAAAATAAAATCCACTTAAAATGAAATAAAAATTTAATAACTATGACTGCAATTATCATAAAACACTTAAAATTAAAAATTTTAAAAACAATCAAATACTACTTTGGTTTTATTTTATCAAACATCTCAGGTTAAAAGAGAAATGTGAAATATTCAAATTATAACTTGGAAAGAGAATGAAACAAAACTAAAGAAAAGTATATGAAGACTAGTCTTTTTTATTGAAGATGTCATAAATTTATAATTAATGAATGTATGTTTACACTAATAAAGAATCAAAACTAACTAATTGATACTTGCCCTTTTTATAACCAATAAAATCGAGTCATTAAAAATACACGTCTGTATCCTTCTCCAACACTAACTACCAAAAAAATCTCAAAAACTACTTTGATTTTATTTTATCAAACATCTCAGGTTAAAAGTGATGTGAAATGTTCAAATTATAACTTAAAAAGAAAAGAAAACAAAAAATTAAAGAGAAGTAAGAAGACTAATTTTTTATTGAAGATGTTATAATTAATGAAGGCATATTTTACACCTATGAAACACCGATATTTTTACGAAGGAGCTGTACCTGTGTTGTACTTGTGTCGAACATTTTATATACGTGTCTATAAATAAAAATTAATTTTATTATTTTGGACACTTCGCTGACACTTTTTAGATACTTGATGACTTAATTTCATTTTATAAGTCATTTTAGAACAACTCTTAGTATAGAAATTATAAATAAATTAAAATTTTATAATACTATTATTGAATAGATGTATAAAAATAAAAATAAATATTTATATTTATATATAGTTATGTTCATGCCGTACTCGTGTTGTACTTTTTAAAAAATTTACGTGTCATTCGTGTCGTATCGTGACCAAATCTGTGCTACATAAGTTTACACCTATGAAGCACGGACACTCCTCTCAGGGGTCCCCTACCAGTGTCGGATACGGACACCCGTGTTCGAGGCTCTGACACGTGTTCGACACTTCTGTGAAGTGTCCAAAAATTATTTTTTATTGGACACGACTCGGACACGGGGTGGACACGGCTCAGACACGCGGGGGGACACGGCGGGATATATTTTGTAATTTTTTTTTTAAAGATAAATGGGATACCTAATTAAATTTACTAATTTTAAAAGTTTAAAAGTAAAATTTTAAAAAAATAAAAAAAATCTACAAATAACAGATTTTTTTTTTAAGCTACTTGAACAAGACTTTGTGAAAGACTGAAAGCATATATGTTTATTCATATACATATTTAGCTCATTATAGCTATGTCTCTTCTGCACATTTTCGTTTGATAAACTTTATTTTTCATTTATTTTCTATTTTGTCTTGTCTATGTTTTTCTTATAACAGAAATGAAATTATTGAAATTGGTCATGTTATTTGTTGTTATTTTATTTGCAATTTTATATTTATATATATCTGTTTGTTATTAGGAAAATGAACGTGTAAGGTTCTAGTTATTATATTTTGAATATATAATTATATATATATATATATATATATAAATTTATAGGCATATTCGCTGTATCCGTGTCCTATTTTTTTAAAATTTGCCGTATCACCGTATCAGTATCGTATCTTACTCGTGTCCTGTGTCCGTGTCTGTCTCCGTGCTTCATAGAAAATAACCATAACTAATTGATAAATACCGACCGAATTTTCCACCAATAAAATCGAGTCCTTACATGATACTCACCCATGTCTATCCCCTTCCCCAACACTAACTACTACAAAATCCATGTCTATCCCCCTCGAGCACAACTACAAAGTTTCAAATTATTTCTTCGAAAAACCCACCCAATCTCTGTCTCGTCACATCTCATTTTAATTGTTGTCGAACAGTATCCTCACGCGCTTTTACTCACTTGTTGAACGCTAACCATGCGATCATTGATAGAGTGGATCACGCGCAGAGTTATTTGTCTATACTAAAAGGAAACGTTTAATCGAATTAGTTAGTGTTTAACACATCATGCGTGGGCAATGGCCCTCCGTCTCAATCGAGGCAACCCATCGTCTTAACGACGTCTCCAAAGGTCAATAACGCCATTTGACAGCTATCTATGTGCTGTCTTTTTTACTCGTACTTTGTCCACGTTAATTTCTGATCACGTTAATTAGTTTTGTTGTGATCCCCATATGTATCTTGTTTTTTTACTCATACTTTGTCCAGGTTAATTTCTGACCAGATTAATTTGATTGTGATTACAGTTTATGTTAATTTCTGATTAATTTGATTGTGATTACAGTTTATTTTTCAATAACTATGAAAAATATATGTAGTTACACAGTCGTATTAATTCCAGTGCACATATGTGTTTTAAAAAAATTTGTTTCAGTCCCTCACCCTTCGAACTTATATATAAATATCCTCGTGTTTAACGGACGATTGTGATGGTTACAAAAATTTAGTTTTTAGAATTCTCCCTAAGCATATAATAAATTTAGTATTATTCTAAAATCTTATTCAATCTACTAATTTCTATCAATCCTTCGATATTCTATAATCATTAATCTCTCTCCAATACTCTTACTTTATTAATATTAAAAGTCCATATTATTACTGAAATAAAAAAATATATAAAGCATAAAAGAAGAAAAATGATGTGTGGTTCAATATTTAAACAAAAAAATTTATCATAACCTAATATATTCTTATTCCTATTTTTATCATTTTCATCTTTTTTCGTTGAATTTTTTAAATGAGAAAAATAAATTATATCCCTACCTTTACAAATACGTATTTTTCACCATATTCTACTAACTATGATACCAAATAAAATGTAGCAAATAGAGAGATGTTTGTTAATATAGTCAAATTAACTAACGTTATGTTTGGAGGCGTCAAATCGTCACTTTAGATTTAAAATGAGGAGAAAATTAGTTCAAATTTTATATAAAATTTTATTCAATTCCAAATTTAATATGCTAATTCAGTACTCCAAATTCAATATATAAGTAGATGCTATTGATTTTAACATAATCAAAATTTAGTAAATAAAATGGGGAACAACCATTTTCAACCTATTGTATATTTGTACCTTTGTTTTCAAGTGCACATCAAATAAATGAGATGGAGCCTAACGTGAATCATTTCTCAAATATTTTAAAATAGCACATTGTTTCATATTGGATAGCAATTTTAAGTCTTTGCACCCTTATTTTATTTAAATTATTGCTTTCAATTGATTGGGAAGAGAGGTAGAGTCATAAGTCACACAATCTTTTTCAACCTTGTCGCTCTTACGTTCTGAGCACGTACGCTCCGCATGTGTTTTCGCTCAAACTCTTTATGTTTATGATTTAATTTTGCTGTTCTCACGCTTTCACTCTCAAATTTGTTTTCGCTCTTATTTAGGTAAAGTCTTTATATCTTCATAATTAGAGACTTTTTACTTATTTCCAAAGAACAAAGACCTTTAAAACTAACGAGTTACTTATTTCCAAAGAACAAAGACCTTTAAAAATAATGAGAAATTAATTGAGGGCCGAAAAAAGGTGCTCCTCGTATGGGAAAAAGGGATGGGTAAGATCCTATGTTTATGTTATTCGAATAAAAAAATGAAAAAGTTTGGTATGGGTCAAGCTTCCATGCAGAAAACGATAGATATCTCAATTATGAGGGAGGGAGGGAGGGAGAGAGAGAGAGAGAGGAGAGAGTATGCTTTTACTGTTTTGTCTAATAGAATGGTGCGAATGTTGGAGGCATGGAAGCAAAGCAATGGCCGAGGATGGCGGCAACATCCCCCTTACAAATACCCAAGCAACATTAACCCCACAACCCACACTACCACTATTATCCTATCTATGTTCAACCCAACATTAGCTAGGGAGAGACATTATGATATTTGATAGAGAGAGAAAGTGATACATACATACATATAGAGAGAGAGACTAGTGCTTTGAAAACCTTAGGTAGGGGGCAGGCTTTATTGCTTTTTTGTGTTTGTGATTTGATTAGACCAAAAAGGTAGTTTTTCCCCGTTTAGGGAAAGTAGTTTCTTTGAGTATGTGGAAGGAAATAGTTAGTAGCAGTGGGTTTGGGCTTTCAGACGAGGCACCACAGACCCTATTGAAGTCGCGAAGTAGTGAATCATCCCCTTCCAACATGATGAGTCATGATCATGATCTTCATGATCAGCGCCGTCCATTTGAAACCGTAGTAGGTGATGGTACTGGTGGCTCCAAGCCCATGACTATGAGCCCTATATACCATTATGCTGATGCTTCTACTACTAGTACTGGCGCTGTTGCAAGGACTGTGCAGCCTTTGCACACCACTTCCACTGCTATTTCAACCCACTCCCCTTACAAATCCCCAGGTGTGCTATACTCTTTTTTCAAGTCAAACCAAATCAATATCATTTCATTTCATATATATATATATATATGTATAGGTTAAATCTTTCTTGGTAAGTGAAAAATTGATGTGGGTTTGTTAGAGTTTTTGAAAAAGAAATATGAGATTAACTACTAAAGTGGTTTCTGTGATTTTTGTGTAGCAGCAGATATGGCGGCAACTTTGGGGTATGCTTTTACAGCAGCACAGTGGAAGGAGCTTGAAAGGCAATCAACGATCTACGAGTACATGTCGGCCTCTGTTCCTCTGCCTCCTCATCTACTCTCACCCAACATTACCGGGAATATCTCTCCGTACTCTCACTCAAGCTGTAACTACCCTCTTTTTTTTTCTTGTCTATCTTTATCTCATCGTATGGATATATATTTTTCATTATACTATGTGTTTTTCTAATTGACGGTATGTGATTTGATGTATAGTACTGGGTGGTGTTTCAAATTTCAATCTGATATTTGGGGATAATAAGGATCTAGAGCCAGGAAGATGCAGGAGGACAGATGGGAAAAAATGGAGGTGCTCCAAAGATGTAGCGCCTAGAGCGAAATACTGCGATCGTCACATGCACAGAAGCAAGCCCCGTTCAAGAAAGCATGTGGAAGTAGCTCATATCGTCCCTTACAACAACAACCAGGACAATAAAAATATCCTCACCACCACCACCACCACCACCACCTCCGCCACCACCAACAACAACAACAACAAGAAGACTCGCCTGAATCCCACAACCCCTCCACTCCTGCCTAAGCCTCCCATGGTTCACACCAAAATTTCCCCACCTCAGCCTCAGCTTCAGCTCCTCGGATCCACCATTCAACCAAATGACACCCCTCGCTTTTTCGATGAGAGTTTGTCTGCTTCCTCTTCCAAGGAATCAAGCAGGTGGGTCTTTCATATATCTTTCGGAACATGTGCTTCATTTGAACAGGTTCTAGATTGGGGTCAGAAGTTCATTTGCAAATTGATTCGATTAAAATTGTCCATGGCTTATCTCTATTTTTCTTCATCTAATGATTTGTATTTGCAAATTGAAGGGGGTTGGATTGGATGCTGGAGGGTGAGATGGTGAGAATGGGTAAGTGCTCAATTTTCAACACTAGTGCCAATGCTTTCCAGCCAGTTTACAGCGATGAGCTTACCTATCAAAACAATGAGCCTCTGAGTTTGTTTCCTTTTCCAAATTTTGGAAAACCTGGACCATCCCAGAGAAACAATGACTCTTCTTTGTTTCTCCATCCCGATCCCATTTTGTCCTTACAAAATAAGGCCCAAACAGATCCCCCAAGAGCTTTCATTGACGCCTGGTCAAATGACAACTCAAACACGAACACCAACAACACAAACCACTACTCTGTTTCTTCAGGCAACATCTCGCCTTCTGCTCTCACTCTGTCCATGGCCATGGGAGCCGGCAACCTAACGCCCTTTTCTCTCACTCTGTCGAACGCCATGGGAGCCGGCAACGCCGTGGACAAGGAATTGGGTAAGATCCAGATGGCCTTGGGAGCTCCGGATTTGCAACACAACTATCAAATTGGAGGCAGTGTCAAACAGCCCCAAATGTCAAGCTGGTTGAATCCTCTGCCTTGGGAGGCTTCCACACCGGGAGGACCACTCGCCGAGGCCTTGCCCATCTCGCTCACCATTGGTGGCCGGAGCCCAGCCTCTCCCTATGCATCTAATGGCGATTCAATTGGTATTCCGGCGACCACTGTTTCATCCCCATCTGGGATTCTTCACAGGACAATGCTATCGTTTTCTGATAGCAGTGGCTGCAACAGCCCAACCCTTGCACCTCCATCTGCACCGCCTGAGTTCATCAATTTCCAGTGGTTGAACTAGACCAATTTAGCATCTTTGTTTTCAAGTTGTTTGTCACTCAGATTTTGTTTGTTTTGGTTTGTTAACTTTGCACCTTTGTTTGTTGCTTTATTAATCTTCCTTGTGAATCCAAACTAGTAAGCTACAGTAATCTACTTTAAGATTTAGTGCCCGTTTTTTCCCCTTAAAAAGTGCACTATATGTTTAATTTTTTAAATTCGCCATGTTATACTGTGTTATTGTGTATGCCCAGTCTGATTGAATTGGACATGTTCAGTCATATCATCGATATGGCATGCTCGCTTGACCAGTATCTACTTGAGGACCGCTCTTTCTATCACTTTACAAATGCCAAATGTCATCTGCCTTTAACCTAAGTAAGATTGTTTCATTTTGACCTAAAAATCACAATCACGGATTTTAAATTGAAAATAAAATACGAAAGTGGCGCGACTAAATTCTTTTTCACAGAAGATAGTTTTTAGTGTGTAGAGTGTTGAGAAGGATTTAATCAAACATGTTTGATTTGGAGGGTGGGGAGGGCAGCCATTAATAGAAAGTGCAGTGGCCCCTCTTGTCGTAAAATATGTGAAAAATTAGCTGGAATAGTGCTCGACCACCCCTCCGGCCGACAGTAGTAGGAGACAGATAGATGATTGGATTTGCTATCCGTGATATTTTTATTGAAAGGCTACCTACTGAGGTTGCTTTCTCGCTTCCAACTTTTCTTTAGAGGGGTTGGTTGATGGAGATATTTGAATTTACAGTATCACTGTCTTTTTTGTTTATTTTACTTTTGTGACAAATGAAAATCTATAAGATAAAAGAGGTAAATAAGAAAAACTGAGTTGATCGGTGGTGAAAGAGACCTGCATGATCCAATAATCCATATTAGAGAAAAATAGAATTAAGTCTAAAATAAGTTAAAATTGTAAGAAAATATATGGTCAATTTTATGATGTAATTAAAGTTAATATATTGGTGTTAAAAGAATTAAGAAATAGGATTATATGTAATAAAATCAACCTTAATAATTGGGATGAAACACAGTTAAGTGAATTTTTGTAGATAATGACATAACTGGGGTCTGAGCGATATATATAGTTTACAAGAGTTTGAAAGAGATCTTAAAATAAAATAAATTTAGGAAAAAAATTTAGAAAATAAATAAAGAGAACTTGGGGTCGTGTTGCCAACAATTATCCATGAGAGCCATGGAGAGAAGTCCAAAATTTTGAAAGTGAGAGCTGTGACTTTAAAGACCCAAAATTTGGTGGAGGCCAGTTTATATATATATATTGTGAAATTATTATTATGATTTTAACAAATTTATAGGTGTGAAATTAAAATAAAAATTCAGTGGGCGCGTTCACCCCGACTTGGCCTAGGTTAGGTCGGCCCCTGGTAGGCTTTGTTTTTGATAGGCTTGAAAATTGAATGACGTTCCATTTATTCTAACTGATTCAATGGATAAGGTAATCAAAATTGTGCTGAGGCTTATAGTTATTGCTATTTTTGGCGCAAAAACAAATCTGATTTCATCTCATTTTTCCACATCACAACTTTAGGTTGATATTTTTAATGAAATCCAAATTTAGATTTTGAAACAAAATACCGTATATTTTTTTGTTTTATTCTTTGAACTTACGAATTTTGCAAGATTGTTAACCTAATTTAGATTTGGAGTTGACCAAAAGGCCTCTCAATCCAAAATTCTTAGATTGCGTCGAAACGAACTTTTAATTAAGGCCGTAACTCGAACGAGTTAGAGTTAAAAATTCAATTTAATATATAAAATGTTAAACTCGAGTTCAATATGAAAAGATCAATATTGAGAGGCTAACTTGCACTCTGACATGGAGCCATAGCTAGTTTTATTTTTTATTATTATTATTTTTCTTCAAAAATTTGGATATTCAACCTCTATCACTAATTTCCATGCTCATTACTAATTATGTTCAACTTCAACTAGTGCTAGTGCTAGCCATACAATATGTTTTAAAAGAAGGATTTTAATCTATGAAACCCAAGTGAATGAACAAAAGAGGATAGCATTTATATTGAAAGACATTGAAACCATAAAGCAAAAACTATTGAAAACATCTAAAACAAACTACTCGAATCAGATACCCATGTCCTATGACTTCTTTCATGTTTCTTCCTTCACTAATTAACCCATCTTAATTTCAACGCCCAATCCCTCGGCAACTTCCTTCAACTGGTTACGTCTTCTTTTATTAATGCCACGGGAGAACACTATATCTCCATTGTAGTTGTACTCCTTCACGAGCTCTGCAGCATACTGAAGTTCGACGGTGTTGGAAATGGCAATGGAGGGAAGTGTCAGTAGTTGCTCCCTTGCCTCGGACAACTCCTCCGTTTTCTCCTGAATCTCCACTTCCACAATTTTCAGACGATTCTCGAGTTCCTTTCTCTTTTGCACAAGTTCCATTCCATGATGAGTTTCATTCTGAAATTCTTGCTCCGCCCTCATTAGCTCCTCCACAGAGTAAATTGACATGGCTTAAGTTTATGACTAGCTGTTGAATAATGAGAAGTTTGTTTGGGAGTAGTGGTTATTATAATTAATAATCACAGTGAATTCATGAAATATAGTTGTATGCTGAAAAATGCTGTGGGCATGAAAAAAAAAAAAAAAAAAAAAAACGTGAATTCATGAAATATAGTTGTATGTTGAAAAATGCTGAAGGCATGAAAAAAAAAAACGTGAATTCATGATATATTGTAGTAGATCAAAAATGTAAATAGCATGAAAAAATCTGAATGGCATGATGTACATAATTAAGTTTTTTATTTGGATCAAGTGCAGAAAAGACTCTTAAAATATGTTTACCGTGCACATCACACCCCTGTAAAAAATACCCATAAAGTTTCAATTTGGTGCAAATAGGTCATTTTGACAAATTTAAACCTTAAGTTAACTAAATTACCTTTATTGGACCATTTTGTAAAAAATAAAATTTAAACACCCCTAAAGTATATTTACAATACATATCACACCCATAAACAATAAAACTAAATAATTTTATAAAATGACCAAAAAGAATACTATTGGAGGACGCCGGTAATGGACAAAGATAAAAATAGAAAATAAAAATAAAAGTATAAAGAAAAGTAAAGTAAAGATTAAAAAAGTAAAAAAAAATTAACGAAAATAAAGTACAAACTAAAGAAAACAAATCTGCTCCAAACTCCGAGAACCAATGCACATTAATATAGGAAATAGAAAACAGTAAACTGAAATCTCAAAAAAATCAAATCTTTGTTTTACAAATTCTTAAAGTTAAAAAAAATAATAATAAAAAATAAAAAATTAGAGATATATATGGAGAAAAAAATTTTCAAAAAATTATATATAAGATAATGTGCACATAACACCCCCATAGTTGAGATTAATAGCATATATACCCTTAAACATTTTCAAAAAAGTAAAAAGGCAAAACAAATATTACAATACTAATTTATGTCAAATTTTTTATTGAGAGATATTTTTACTCAATGTAAAAAAATTAAAATATTTTTTATACATTTTTTAAATATAAAATAAAATTTTTAAATATAATATTATACTTTAGAAGTGTTTTCTCCTTACTTTTTCTTTGTGTGATTTATAGATGCTACCAATCAGCGTCAAAGCTATTATTTGAGAGGGATTGACTTGTGGCAAAACAAAACAAAAAAAACTTGTGGCAAAAAGACAAAAAAGTGATCCGTCATATATCGTTACCCTTTAGCTAGTTTGGACTTGGTTCTGGGCCTCTCTGGTTATAAATATTAACTCAAGTGAGTGATTGACTTTTTAGTTTTGCACGTGCTCTGTAAGACATCTGTTGAGATGGCCGAGTTGGTCTAAGGCGCCAGATTAAGGTTCTGGTCCGAAAGGGCGTGGGTTCAAATCCCACTCTCAACATAATTATTTATATTTTAAAACACCAAATTAAGGTTTAACCTTTTGGTTAATATCATTCATCTGAATTGAAGCATCTGGTGAGGTTAGTCAACAGCTGTTCCATATGATTTTTCTCATCCATTCCTTCTCCATGATTGATCAAGAACAAAAACTGCATGGCTGGCTAATAAAATGCGGTTATTGTACTTCTTTATGCATATTGAGCTCTTGTCCTTTGGATGTTCGACAAAATGTGTGTGAAATATATATATTTTTTTGTAAGTAACAAAATGTGTATGAATTAGCACCATTTTTTCTAGGTGCTACAGTTCTTGAGAGTATTGGTGGAAAACCAATGGAAAATGCATAATGATTGTCTCTCTAAGATGTTTTGTAGCTACTGTATTTCTTTTCCTATTGCTCATTATTTTGAAGAACCAACAGATGGGTTCTTTTTTTCTTTTTTTTTTTCCTACTGTTCTCTGATATGTTAAACACTGTGTTCTAATACACACTGTTTTCTGGCCTTTTGCCAATAAATATTGTAGTGTTACTAGGCAAATGTGGATAAGGCTTTTGGGGTATTGTGTTTACATTTTTGAGTTCAAAGAAAACTCTAATAAAATCTTTTTACCCTATTCAAAAACTTATTGAACCAATTGATCATCTTTGTACTCTTGCAATCTGGCTAGACTTGATAATAGATCATACTGTTGAGATTTGAATATTAAAGGGTCCCAATTGCAACCTTGAATGCTAAATCTTCTCCTAAAATCTCATGATTCAATTGGGATAAATACATATATCATATGCAGGATATATTATATATGTCTGATTGTTGATCCCCTTCAAAATTCTTCAGCTTGTTTCTAAATGATAATGTCGGCGATCCTCTTTCAGCAGGGTTTCTTTTTTGGTGAGTTTGAAGTTTTAGTCACTTTTGGCTCAGTTGCTGTGACTTAAATGAGATGTAAAGAGTGTGTAAATCTAGTGACTGGATCGAATGGTGTGTGAACACACCATTTCTGTAGAAATTTACATGCATTTGCTGATCAATTTAAGACATTTCTGGTCAGTGTTAAAACTTACATTCCTTCTAAATGCATTAAAGCTGGTCAATAAACTTCGTTGATAATTGAACACATCTACATTTCTACTGCTAGTTCTGGACTTCACATTTTCAAAGGTGCGACAGCATATGCATCAACATTCTCACCATCACTTGTATTCCTCTCCATTTCTTTCCAATTCATTTGGTTGAATTTGCTCACCTCAACCACCTCCTTAGATCACTACTTGAAGGTGGAGAGATCTCATCTCCGAGGCTGTCCGTGTAACAAGAAGACATATTGGACCTTTGCTCCATCCCAAATTTCCCTCCTTGAATGCCCTTACAGCTTGGGCTCCTCAAGTTATGGTCAAAAGTTTCGCCATTGTTGCCAACACTGTTGTATGGGTCCGGAACAGGAAAAGAAAGCCGTTTCTTGGCTGACCCCATTTTTTCCCTCTCTGGTGTCAAAGGCCTCTGTTTTGGTGCACTTTGTGACCGAATACGAGCCTTGGCCGATGCAGTTGCAGCCATGTAACTTGGTACTGCAGCAGCCCCATTATCCCTGCCAGCACCCATTCCATGGCAGTAGGTGGAGCCTAAGTTTGGAGTCTGAGCCATGCGATAGTTCCTCTCCTCTCTTAGGCAACGAGGGCTTGCCGAGTGTACCTGGATTGGTCTGATCTTAGATAGCTTAGGTGTGTTGGGTGAGTGGTGAGAAAAATTGTTGTGTGCTCTGTGGAGGGGAGAGGCAACAGAATTTGAATTGGGTTTTTGGTGTTGGTAGTGGTGATGTTGATTTTGTGACCTCTGAAAATTAATGTCCGAGTAAGAATAGGGTTGAGAGACGTCAATTTCAACAGTTTTTATGGGGTCTCTTTCGTCACAAGAAGCTCTTCCTGTCCTCTCCCATTGCCTTCTTGTTGTCCACTGATCAAGGCTTCTGGTTTTTTCTTGTATCTCTTCATTGACTAAAAATTGGTCCTTACCAGATCTCCACATCTGTTATTAGGGCACAAAAGAGTAATGAGCTGAAAGATGCAAAAACAATACAACTAGAGAGAGAAAGAGAGAGAGACCTGGTGGGAGAAGGCATGAGCAAGGGCCTTCTCGCGTTTTAAAGCAGCTTCCTTTGTTTTAGGTACCATGGCTTGGAACTCCTCCGTAGTATGTGGGTAACCATTCCAGTCCTCTGCAACAATTCTTCCATCTCTGGACTGAATTCAGAGTTTACAAACTAAATCAAAACATTGAAAGCAGCGTTAAGCATAACATTTGAAATCTCAACAAAGAATTTGACTCACAATGGACATCCTATTTGCAAGATGAGATTCCCATAAGCTGTTGGGATCACTTGACATGGAACCTATGCTGCTTCCTTCATATGAAAGCCTCTTCCTTTGATCGCAAACTCGAGCTTGCACTCGAACCAGTGCTTGCATACATTGGAGTGTCATCTTTGCTCGCTTTCGGACATTGTGACCCCTTACTAAAGCTTGTAGCTTTACTAGCCCTTTGAGAGCTCGAAGCGCTCTCTTTGCCTTCAAAACCACATTAACATTTCAACTAATCTGTCTCTGCTTATAGTGTACATGTTAACGAGGAAAAAAATGACTAGCCTAGGGCACGAAACTCCCACCATTGCGGGATCTGGAGATGGTCAGATGTATGCAACTAGGAAATGAACTATAAACACACACAGGAACTGAAATATTACCAGATAACCTCTGAATGCAGTTTGGATAACAATGGCAGCAAAGTGTTGTCGGACAAAGATGGAATGTCCGGTGAGCCGAATGATCTCCACGGCTGCTTGGGCCGTTGCAACTGCAGCCTCGGCAGCTGCGGTGGTCGCCATTGCCACTGCAACGGCACGCCTTTGCCCTGTACTGGCAGCCTCTGCGATAGGATTCGCCACTGAATTAGCAGTGGCGCTTATGTCTCTTGCTGCATTGTGTTGTATTGTCGTCTCCTGTAACGACGATTTCCGGAAAATCCACCTTCTCTTTTCCCTCTTCTACATAAACCCATAAAACCATCCATTGCAGTGATTAAACATAATATATAAGTGTAGATGTGAGCTAAATTAGTATTATTACCTTTTCTTCTTCTTCTTGTTCATGTTCTTCTCTCCTTCTGCTGCTCTTTTTCTCATGGCCTTTTGTAGGTGATCTGAAAGCCTTCTTCACTTGACTCAACCATGAGCTCACTCCAGTCTTCCCCATGAAAAACTTGGAACAAAACTTCGATACATGTATCAAAAAAGCAATTAAGTTGAGACACAGGTGAGTGAACTCTGCAAGTACTTCTCTGTTTGCTTGTTTGATATTTTTAAAAGCAGAGAGAGAGGAGATATAGTGTAGATTATAGAAATGAAGTGAAAGGAACAGGATCTAACAATGAAACTGTCATATCCCACTATTATTGGAACAGAAGGTTGCATAATGTAACGTTATAATGTATGCAGCAATCATAGATGAGGGAAGGTAAGAGGTAATATTCTGGAAAAAGAATTTGTGTTGTGTTGTGGCTCGTTAAGCACTAGGTGGCAGGTGTGTCAGACAGTTGGAGACAGCATCAAAGGGTGTGTGGTCTTGAGAATGTTGAAAGCTGTGGAGACTGGAGAGAGAGAGAGAGGTTGCTAAGTAGGCTTTTCCTTTTTTATTCTGCAGGAAACAACTGACCAGCTCTCATGGCTTCACGTGTTGTAGGCTAGTGTTGAGAGAGAGAGAGCACAGTGAAGTTGTTCTTTCGAGGATTGTGATGTATAAGGAGAAAGAAGAGAGACCAGTTCTCTGTGCAATGTTACCTACGAAAAGAATACAAAAATGTATAGTTTTGTGGGGCCAAGTGTTGGATTTTAGAGGCCTTGGAATGAAATTAGAATCTGTTTCACAGTTTCTGCAACTTTATTCTGAAATTTTTGGGTTTTAAAATGGACTGGTTATCCACTAACCCCTGCTTCATTGTTAAGCTAAAGACTTTTGTTCTTGAAGTTAGAGAAAGGTAAATTCTGTTTGCGCAAATGTTTTGGTTTTAGATTTACAGTTTTGAAGAGATAACATAAACTACAGGACATGTAATCGGTGTCATCAACTAATTATATATTATTATATTTATTTATTTTGGTATGTCGTATCATTAGGTGATTGATATTCCATGTGTACTGGGTAGTCAGTCCTGCAATTCTTAAATGGGGACATTGTTGTGCGAGTCCCAACAGAGTTATAGGTCTCCTTGCAAGGGCTCAATGGTTTGACTGTCCTTTTTGTAGTGGAACTGGTCCCATGACATGTTGCTTTTTAGTGTTTGAAGTGCTCTCTTTTCTTCTTTTTTTTCCCTTTTTTGGTTGTCTTGATATTAGACCTCGCTTTACAAGGTTGCAATATTGATATATTCTGAAATCACCCTATTTACACAGCAATGCTTGTGACCATAATAAAAGTTCCAACTTTTTTTTTATGCACAAGCACTTACAAGTACGACAAATATTTAGTCTTGTATTCTCTGAAACATAGAAATTCTCTTGAATATAGTTTTAAAAAAAATTACACTTGGTTGAATAATCTGTGTCTCGCAACTTAAAAACTTCCCAATGCACACATCCCATTTACAACTTGAAGAAATTGGAACCTACTTATATGCTGGTTTAGAGCAAACTGTAATTGATTAGTCTTTTCTCTCTTCATTTATTCTGTTAAATTCGATAGAAATTTAGATTAGTACTTAGATGACTTGTTTCAGATACTATTACCAAGTTGGATTCCTCATTTGGAAACCAATTAGTCACCAAAAATTCAACCACTAAGAGAAACAACAAACAATTCAAGTAAATTAAAAGTTAATATAGATATGACTGCTTGAATCTAAAAACATCAGAAACATTTTAAAATAAAAAAGAAAATCATCTCTGAACTTTTCCATTTCATGGCATTAGTATGATTAGAACTTGTTAGCACAAAGCAGATGAGATGTATAGACTCGTCAATCCCATGTATGATATGACAATACTTCTTCCTAAGGCCATATATCTTACCAATTTGTTACATCCATCACTGGCTCCCTTCAGGAATAGATTCAAGCTTAGGCTTCCAACTTACCGAGGAGTCAATGGGACGACGCCTTTTTCTCTCCATGCCTGATAGAACATCCTCAACTGATACTTTCTTTGACAACAAATCTTGAAGCTGTCTCTTTGTTACGACCATCTTAATCCTCTTGACAGCCCTCTTCTGTTCCGTGCAATCAATGGATGAGACACCTGCAGGATTAATAGCAGTAACAGAACCTGGCAAAGGAAGAAGATAGTAAATTCTCCCCAACTTCAATTCATAATTTGGAGGAAGACACTGGAAAGCTTCCTTGGATACACTAACACCTGAACCTGAAAATTCAACCAGGAGATTCTCAACGCGAAGCGGTTTAGAAAACTCCAAAACCTTTCCATCTGTCTTCACAACCCTTAACACTTTCCGGTGCTTGGCTGCAGTAGTCCTGGCACAAGGATGTTTGCTGAAGGTGTAAAAAGCATGGCAATTGCCCATTTGAATACAAGGAATTTGGAACTTGAAAACTAATTATTAGAGTTATAAGAAGTGCTTAAGTGAAAGAGTAATAAACCAAACTTAGATACAGAGTGCGTGTGTGTGTTTTGTCCGATTTTGAGGGTGTGAAAGGAGCTAGGGAGGTAAAAAGAAAACAGGGAGTGAGAGAAACTGAGAAAGCAAAGATAATATAAAATATTTGTCAACACGCATGCAAGAGAGGTGGGTTAGTGGAAGGTGGCGCATCTGCAATATTGGTTTGCTCATCCTAGAGAGTTGAACTCTATTTGTAGAAGCCTCCATCCATGTCACAAAGACTTCTCACATCGATTATGAACTTCCACCACTGAACAAATGGCTCAATCAAACAGGTTGTGCACTATTCTTTATTGATCCTTCAAAACAGAAGGTTTGGTCTATCTGCCAAATAAAAACACAAATATGCAATCAATTTGATAGTGAAAATCAGAAATTTGGATTAGCAAGCAAGTAATAACAATAATAAGTTGCAAAATAAGAAATTTGTTTTTTGATTTTCATAATGACAATTTCTTTTTTCTTTTTTCCTTGTGTGTGTGTGTGTGTAAACACAGCCCCATTTGGAATATAATAACATGTTGATATAATGCAGAGGTGCAATTGGCATATATATAATAAGGTATATAGGTTGCTTAGAAATTAAATGGTCATTTAGGTTCTCGAGTACAAACGAACCTAATTTATTATTATTAAGTGCTCTTAGGTGCTGTTGGGCCTTCCACTAAGAGATTGTCATTATCAGATTTGGGAAAAGGGTGCATGAATATTTAAGAAAAGTGCACCCTAATCATAACTCCATAAGAATCATTAACTAGATAATACAAATTAAAAAAAAATTTAAAAAATCCTAATGGAGTACCAAACTTAAATTATATTTTACATCACCAAAAGAAAAACAGATTTAATTTGAAAAATAGAATACCATATGAAGAATATCTAAATCACAACCATTTAACTTAGATTATCAACAAGGGACCAAGGCTCATCCGATTTATGTGATGTGCTAGGAGAAAAATACTAGAGATTGAAATAATATTTGGTAGTATTTTGTATAGTTTGAGTGCGCTAAACTCAAATATACTTAACTCGAAAAACTTTTATCTTCACTTAAATCTTATAAATATGGTCCAATCGATGCCTAAGTGTTGCTGGTCATCGATTCCCGCAATGGAAAATCTATATGCAAAGTATAGGTAGAATCACAATGATATAAGAAAGTGGCAACACCTGGCATCTGCTATGTGGGTACATATATAAAAAACTAAATCAGGTGGCCCAAGTAAGATGGAGAGCTCTAGGAAGCGGACATGGGACTTCTACCCTGAAATGTTAAAGACTTAAAGGCCAATGGGGGACCCTCTGTTGGAACCTTGGAGTTAAGTACAACAAAAGCAGATGAAGATCTATATGTAACATGGTGTGTTGGGTATGTATGTATGTATGTATGTGTGTGCGTGTGTGTGTGTGTGTGTGTATCATGGTATGTTGGTTGGGTCAAAGATATGTGTCCCTTTTTGGTCTTACAATTAGCCAAAAAGAGATGGTGTGGGACTCAGGTGCAAGGACACACCCCTTGCTGGTGTAACTTCCCTGGTTTGAACCTAAACCAAAGAAATCCATACCTGATAGGTCATGGCATATTTAACTAATACATATTCAACTAACATAAATACATAAAATAGATAACAATTCTACTACTCGGCAATCACAGCATTCCATTTCATGATATTCACAGCTAGCTAATGACAAGGAGAATGTGTACAGATAGCTAATGTGAAAGCAAATAACTATATAAAAGTACCAGTCCCATTCAAAGCATTCAAATTCATAAGGCGTGCAACAAAAATTAATAAACAAAAGGAAAAATATAAAGGATAAATGGATTGTACAAATCATCAATAGAATCACCTTATTATACAATTGGAGAGGAACTTCAGAACAATTAAAAAAGAAGTTTTCAATTCACTAAACAACATATTAGCAGTGTAACAGTATTAAAGAAAGTTCAATTTTCAATTCACTGAACAATATTATTACCTTTGTAACAGACTAACAGTAACATACATGTGTTTTCTAAAGGAGCACATTAATATTCTTGGAGCAGGCCAACTCACTATTATTCTCCGACCCCAACTACATAACATTTTCAAAAATTCTACAGAAAAACAATCGGCTAACATTGAAGAACGCAGCCAACTAATAAATAAAATAAAAATAAAATAAAAAAAACGAACCCAAAATAAACTTTGTTCGGAGAGTTCAAACAGAGGGCACTAACATGTTTAAGGCTAAAACTACCATGCATTATTCAGGCGGTGCCTTGCAATATCGCCGATTGTGGCCGGCTTCATGGCAACGCGAGCAATGGATCACCCCTTTGTCATGCAATTGTAAGTCAGTCTGCTTGTTACGTGGCCGACCAGGACGGCGTCCCTCAGGAGGCATAACAGAAATGGAGGTTGAGTCATCATTCAAACTCCCATCAATAGCCTCTCTTGCACACTTTTTAGCCCTCCACCCTTGCATGTAACTCATTTTAACTGTGAAATCACTCTCAAAGTCTCTGCAAATCTGTCTGGGCAAATAAGTAGGACTCTCTCGAACCTTATTTGCGATCATTCTTCCCAATTGCTTGGACCGTATAACCGGCTTGTAGTTGGTAACATCCTGTGGCGTGTGGTTGTGCACATTCTTAAAGCGTTTCACTCTCACTATGTCAGTTCCCCCCTCACAACCAGCTGTTATTTTCCATGGACACTTTTCCATCTTGCACTTGATCCTATAATATTTACGACTGCAGTCTAGGTACTTGTATGCAAAGTGGTTGTTTAATGCAAAGAGGGTAACTGCATCCTTAAATGCACTTGGACTTTCAAAGAGCTGACCCGGCCCTATAAGATGATCCCCATGCCCGTGCATTCTATGAGACTCGTCAGTGATGCCATTTTGCGGGCTATTGCTGACAATGTTGTCGCATTTAGAGGAAGTACCACAACCATCATCTGATGCCCTACATTACAATGCAATATCCAAGTGAGCAATACTGTAAAGACATTACAGAGAACAAGTAGAATAACAAACTCATCTCGTTAAGACTTTAAGAGTGTAAGTACCTGGGGCTAATATGAGGTGGAGGTGAAGATGGCACAGCTGTCACAACAACATCCTTTGCATCCTCAATATAAATATCAGCAATCTCAGCATTTAGTAGCAGCATAGCCTCAAAACCACCTTGACTCGACAGTCGCACATGTTGGGCATTGTCATATTTAGTTGAATAGTACATCACCTTTCCCCCTAATTCAAAACCAAAGCGTTCGCATACTGCTGCGGTGAAGGCTGCATACATTGTATCTTTTGTTACGACAAAGGCCTCCGTAACACCTCCTTGATACGTTGTTTGCCCGTTTTCCTTTGTTTCTTTTTTGCCACCCCAACGGCAAAGGCAAACTACAACTCTCTCATTCTCTCTTGCCATTTAAAATACACTCTTCACTGCCAACATCGATAAATAATATAAATTAACTGCTTGATACTTATCTAGCATGAAGTACATAATGGTACATCATTGTAATAAACACCGGTAAATTGTCGACTAAACATTGGTACATCTTGAAGTATGCAGTTGTACTTTATGAACTACACTGATACATCATAAAATAGAATGGTCATTGAGACCTATTGTGTTAAAATCAAGAGATCGGTCCTTTAACAGACTGAACAGAAAAACAAAAGCACAGTTATCTCAGCTCCAAGGAAGAAAAACAATTTTTTGTTGCCTGTATCTTAGAGTGATAGCTAAAAGGAATCCAAAATAATTTGTGGCTTTAAACCACACAGCTGAACCCAGTTTTGGTTTAAAAATGAAGACCAAATTTTAATTTGGACAGCTTAATTTATTTAGCAATGAGAACAATATATCCTAGCAAATTAATCTGGATACATGTAAAAATATATATATATTGTTAAAAGCAAGTAAGGCCATAGTATGGGAAAATGCTTGTGTTAATCTGATAACTTTTGACAGAAATGTCAATAGCTTGACTGGCAATCTATACCAAACTCCAAATGTCAAGTCCCAATTCTACACCAGGCGGAGGCATCATTTAGTAGCCCTAGCATGGGACCTCCAAAAAATGCTTGATTGCTAAGACATACAGGAATTGCAGATATACTATGCTTTCAACTAAGATTGAACGGTTGGACTGGGAACAATATCATGACAACAAAATCTCAATGATGTTTGCAAGTTGAAAACATAGTTGGGATTGTTTTAATATCTTAACCTAAGTATTTGATTAATTTAAGATACTTTTATTTTCTTAAACATGACATTTTAAGTCTACTTTGCATTATATGAAAACCCCAAATGATGTTTACATACTTCAACAAAAGAGATTAATTTGTTAAAGGTCTTGGGTTCAAACCTCGGGCCCCTATTCGATTAATTTAAGTTTTTCTTGGAAAATCTTGAGCAGCATATTGAGAAGAAACCTTCAAAATTAATTTCAAATCAAGCCCATAAGGTGGTGTAAATGTGGGGATGGAAAAGGTGAGCCTCTATAGGAAGCCGAAGAAGACAGAAAAGGGTAACTAAACATGTTCAGCAGAATCAGAGCCAGATGGAAAACAGAAAAGGGTAGAAGAATATTGGAGCAACAAGCAGTACAAAAAAAAGCTTCAGTTGATTTTTGTGGATGGTGGGTAATCGCCGGTTTGAATTCCTGTACTTGATAAGCTTAATTGATTGATTATTGTATATAATTACAAACTTTAACAACACTATGTTCCTCCTGTTAAACTAGTTGACAATATGGGTTAAAAGGATTATTTTAGCATCGTGAATATTATCAATGTTTTGAAGTGTTCTGTTGATCAAATTCAATGACAAAATGCGATTTATAGTGAGCAAAGCCTCCAATTGAGCTGAAATATAGTTATAAATAGAGGGATTTCAATATTATCGAAAAATAAAGACAGCGAGAAAGGTGGAAAGAGAAAGAAATAGATAGAGAAGTACCAGATTTCGTCCCAGAGGTGCCGTGAGTCGGTGGCGAGGTGCCGTCGGCGGCTATCGCAAGCACCAATCTGCCTATCAGATATATATATATAGAGAGAGAGAGAGCAAAAACTGATGGCAGACCGGGTCGGGTATTGTTAGGGCAAGTTTCTTCCCCCTTTTCTTTTTTTTTTTTGTTTCTTCTTCTTCTTCTTTGTTTTTGTTTTTTCCTTTTTTGTTTTTTTTTCCCAAGGTTTCAAATGAGGGTAAACTTGGCATTTTACTTAATGATTTTTAGGGCATTTTTGTCCTCTAAAATGACTGCAAAACGATTTTTCATGTTATATTTGTGATCTCAGGATTTTTTATTGGAATTGAATTTTAAAACAAAAGTGATGTGTTTGGAATCATAGAATAATTTTTAAAAAAATGAGATTTGATGGGATTTCAAGTGAAAATTTGTAAGGTAAAAAAATCTGAAAACTATTGAACTATTGACTAACAACCCCTACAAACTCTGCAAACTGTTTTAACACAGCTTATCTAAATGGTATAAAATTTATTTATTTTTCAAATTCTCTTTTACAAATTTCAATTTATTTCAAACTGAATTTTATTTTCAATTCTAAATTTTGAAAAAAATAATTAATATAGTGAAATTTACAACTGAATGGAAACTGGGAAGTGTAATGAATGAACATTTGATTATACGTTTCAATTTTTGTATCAATGCACTTTTCAAAAAATAAATACATAAAAATAAAAAATTGAAGAGAACAATTGCATCTCACGTTATTACATTATTAATTTTTTAAATAATATAAGGGAAATGATAATATTAAAATTATGTTTTAAATTCATTTATGAAAAAAAAAAAAAATTATGTTTTAAATTAAATTAATTAAATCTCCATTTAACAAAGACTTTTAAGTCTTGACTTTACATCCCTAATTCCAATATTTTAAACCTGAGTTACACTAGTTCTTTTATATTTTTCTTTTTTCTTTTTCTTTTTTTAGCAGTCACTGGTTCATTTAATATAGTTCTTTTTTCTTTTTCTTTTTCTTTTTAGCATTCACTGGTTCATTTAATACAGTAATTATTTATACATCAAGTTTAAGTTCATTGATACATTTTTTTTTTTTTTTTTTAATTGGTACTCACACCGCCCTTTAAGAGGTAAGAAACTGATACCACTAGGTCACACAACACACGCTTTTGAAATAAATAATTCAAGAATTTTTTTTTAAAGTGCATAGTTTGAGGTGTAGGTATTATATTTTGAATTGATAAGGCAAACATGAATATCGTAAATAGAAGTACAACATTTATGAATATTTGATACTTTAGTTCGGAAGTATCATTTATCTTTTGTAGTTGCCAATCAACTACCTCCTTCTGAATACTATTTGAGTTAATTTGCTCTAAAGTGATATATTACACATCATTATTTTTGTACACTTGCATTCTATTAGTTTTAATTTCGAAAGAAATTCATGTAATTGCCTTTCAAAACCAGCCTTACACTCCACAACTAAATTTCAAAAAATACTTTGAACTCCACTACTAGTGTATAATTTTGCAAGTTCTTTGTTAAAAGTCGATATTGTAGAGTACAGGTCGCAATTGTGGATGCAATTCAGAACAATCACACATAATTACAAAAAAAAAATCAAAAAACAAAACCACATTTAAGACATTGAAGTTTTATTAGAGGTCATGTTTGGATTGAGTCTGAGAGAGAGAGAGCTCTTTAGCCCATGGTTTATAATGGCGGTGTAACAGACTTAACAAAATCAGTACAAACTGACCAATACAAATCACGTATAAGACTTTAAAAAGGGTCGGTCGCGTTACGTGCATTATTAACCACTCGGATTGGAGAGCGGGTACTAATATTGTGGATTGATGTATTTCAGTTAAAAGGCCTGAAGTAGCAAAGCCTTGGGTAAAAATAGCACTCGGTGCGGTTATTGCGCTTAAATGATTTTTCTTTTTTTTGAAATACGGAACTATGTGAATAATAGAGAAACTCCATGAAAGAAAAATTAATGATTCATATAAATCACTTAACGGGAAATGCCCCGAATAAATCCACCGAGTGACTAATAATCCTGTTATACAGAAAAGGGCAGCTATCATGCCCTTTTCTGACGAATCATATAGTCTTACGATTTCATCGACTAATAAGGTTATCAAATGAATTGTAATTACGATTGAAACGATCGAAACGGTGAACCATTCTTTAGCCCCACTTGCACAGTTGCACCCTAACACTTAGTATTTTATAAAAATTCAGTTAAAAAAGACATATTTTTAAATAATTATTTTTTAATAATCTCAGCTTATTAAATATTGCCATATAATGACAGGATCCACTAAAATAAAATACAGTTTTACTTATGTGACATGATAGTATTGATTAATTAATAAAGTTGGTTGTTACAGATAAAGAAGTATTAAAAGTGTAGGGAAGTATTTTCATACATCCCAAACCAACCCCACACACAAACAAATATCCTCACATACCACCACCTACCCTCGTTGTACTGGATTCTCCAGATGTTTAACACAAGAAAAACCCACCAAAATCAAGAAAATAAACAATAGAGGATTAGCAGCTTATCTTCCACAGACTAGCTTTCATATGATGATCTAAAACTTTAAAAATCCCAGTTGATTCTGCTGGATTTAAATATATTTTTCCTATGAGATACACACTCTACTTCCATACAATGACTCTTTTCCTTAATTATTCTTACAACAATAGTTGGTGCTTGTTTCACAAATTAGTCATTGTTCATTCAATATGTAGCATTGACAGAAAACATGACTTGTAAAATTGAATCTTAAAATCTTCATGAGTTAGAAACATGTGAACAGTATTAGTCATTTGGGACAGTCCCCACAGAATCCAACATAAGTTAAGCCAGCTTAACGCCTCGAAATTCCAACTCTACACCATAAAACAAACAACCCATAGAAAACCCCCCAATAGGTGGCCAAGGATACTGGGCTCAGATGCAAATGAACAAAAACTACAAATATAGATGCCACAAGTACCTTAAAAATTATCTCTTCCTATGCATGTTTTTGTAGTAGATATATATATTTATCAGCATATCAGTTTAAGAAGAAATGCAAGGATGGTTTCAGTGCATCGTTGGGCGGGGAGGGCGGGGCCGTACAGGCGTCTTTGATGGGCTTACCCTGCACATGCAGAAAATGGAACATCAAAGCAGTTCAGTGAAATGAAGAGAAAATTAATAATAACTGGACAGCTTAAACACACACAAAATCCACAAAACCAACCTTATTGGCAATGATCCCAAGACCGCACCGCTACAGTTCAGAGCAGCAATTGCACTCTCAGCCTGCAAAAGAAGATAGTGTAGTATAAAACACCTCATTATTATACCTAGCAGTACAGAAATTATAGATCTACAAATCACGCCAAATGACAACGTAATCATCCAGCAGAAACCACCAAAATGTCGGTGAAAAGTCATTCTAAATTATCTTGTAGAAATTTATTTCAACAGACTAGGGCCACAAAACAAGGACCGACCCCTGTCAATAACTCTTCAAACTATACAGAGAACCAGAAAATGAATTATGAGCAATCCCTAGTGATGCCTATGGCTGGAGCTCATGGTTTAAGAACTCGAATTAGGAAAAAAGATAACAGAAACCACACATAAATACAAGAGTGACATGTACAGGAGCAGAGAAGGAAATTTAACAGAGCAGAAAGTGGAAGAAAAAAAAAAAAGAAACAGAAGGGAGGGAGGGAGGGGGGGGGGGGGGGGGGGGGGGTGGATGGACACTCAATTCAACAAAGAAATAAACTGAAGCCAAGTTCCCTCGAGTCCACTACACACTGGCAGAGAAGGAAATTTAATAATATAAGGAGCGCAAAATTAACAGAGCAGAAAGTGGAAGAAAAAAAAAAAGAAACAGAAGGGGGGGGGGGGGGACGGACACTCAATTCAACAAAGAAATAAACTGAAGCCAAGTTCCCTCGAGTCCACTAAACACTGGCAGCCTACCACTTCTACGCAATGCATCAAGCCAATAAAAAGTTGCAAAACAAAGCCTAAACAAACTTTAATATATATATTATATTGGTGAGGGGTTCAATATAACATCCTATGGGCGTGAAAATTCCATTGCGACTGTCAATTTGTCTCTTTCAACCACCTCTTTTTGTTGGGATGGTGAGAGTGGTCTATCTTTGCTTGTTGAGGGGTCTTAGCTACAGGGAGAATAACAGGACTTCCATCTCACTCCTATCCCCTGCATTGTAATCGTGAAGGTATAAGACCACATCCCAGCAAAAACACCACAAAGAAAAAACGGTAAAATTGACCAGTCAGAGCCTGTACACTACTTCTGACACATGTTAAAATTGTGGAAGTTCAAGGACTGATACCCATTTAAATACCCCAATGAAAATGTTGTGTAAATTAAGACCTATACACCAAGGGCAATTTTTCTGTATGATAAAGATGCATAAACTTCACTGCTACATCCCATGTGTCGTAATTCAGAGATTATGGAGAACAACTTCAAATTAACAACCACCAAAAAATGAAGGCGATCAAAATGAGGACCTCTGATCCCAAAGGTCCCATTTGTTTCTACTATGACAGCAATAAATACCCAGAAATGCTACATTTTTACATCCCCGTACTTGGAAAAAAAATAAGATGTTAAATTCAGCACTAAGCAGTTTCTTTCAGAATTTAGGGAAAAGAGAGAGGGAGGCTAATCTCAAAGAAATCAAATATCTAAGGTTGAAAAGAACTCAAAAGTTGAGATAGAGGAGTAAAAGGAACGCACAGCCCGATCTCACCCAGTATTATTTATTAAAACCTACACCCTACCACAAACTAGTCAAGTTCATAAAAGTACTGATCGAATAGGTCCACTGATGCTTGACCAAATCCACAAAGACACCATAAACTTGAAAGGTATTCGAAAATATCTTATTGTCACCTCTTCCATCATCTTCAACCATAGTCTGGAAGGGTACAGAGAAAATCCTATATGATGAAAAACAGACCACTGTGCTTTATGATTAACTCATCTCAACTTACTAGAGCCTTCCCCCAACTACTTAGCGTTACATGAATTCTTTTCCATCGTTTGGCTCTAAGGCCATAACCTCAGCCAAACCACATCCTAGTTGTGCACTTGTGAACCGTTACCTGACAACTAAATGCTAGCCACTCGTAAGACAAGATAGCCACATAATAATGATCTTTGCATTTATCAAAATAAATAAATAATAATAATTCATAAGACAGTTTATAAAGCAAATTCTATTAATAAATAAACAACAAAAAAAATTAACCGAGGCACAAATTGGACAAAAGAATCTAGAAACATGGTTGGATTAGTTATGAGCAAAGAACACAAACGCCTTCACCCAACAAGTGGATAATGTGGTTACAATTTATAGCTCTTTTCATCCTCGAAGTGAGCCAATGGCACTAAGCTATATGATTCCCTCACAAAACAATATTGAATTAAGCCAGTGATAAATTCTAGACATCTTTGAAGCTGTTGCAAGCACCCACAATTCGTAAGAGTCCTAGCCTTCAAACAAGGGCAATGACTGTCAAAATTAAATTCACATGACACCATCTTCGGCTAATGGCAAGATGTTAAAATCTTGGGGCTAGAGACAGGTAAAAAAAAACAAATAAGATGGATACACGCTCCAAACCCCACCCTAAATGAGGAGAAGAGCTCTCCATTGCCTGTTGATGTCGAACAGGTGAATTACACATTTATGATGCAGCCTTTGATGACTAGAAGGCTCCGGTTTTAGAGGCCAATAGGCTTGCAACCTCACCAGTCCTATCAAAAATTACTACAACTGTCAAAAATAAATAAATAAATAAATAATTACTACAACTCTTATGACTAGCCCGACGCATGTAGCCATTTGCAGTGGTTTCCTCATCTTAAGTCCTAACACGTATCTTTGGGCCTCACTATCATTCCAATCTCAAATGATAGACAACCACCTGATTTGCTAACCTCCTGAATCAACTCTCCTCGCCTCCTCGCCTGCTTTAGTATCATGTTAGCTACCAACAGTTCTAGAACCTTAACCTTTCATGTCCTGCACTCTTCTGGTTGCTGCAATTCGCACTCAATCCAAAGTACCTTACTCAACCCCCCAGTTATCTACTTGAACCCCTAAAGCAGCATGATAAAGAGTCAAGCGAGATTCTAAACAATCAAAATTCAAATACTGTTAGCACACTGACCGCCTTAGTACCCATCTTCAAAAGGTTATCCGAGTAAATTATATCTCATAAAACAAAGACCCAAAAAAAAAATTCAAGGCCAGAGAAGATCGTAGGTCAAACTGTGAGGAAAATTTTCAGGAACAAAAATAAATAACCAGATCAAAACATGTCTCTATGCTCTATAAAAGAAAAGTAATTGCATAGCCCACAACTCTTAGTGGGTTCACCAATAAATCGTGTGAAATGCAGGCAAATTTCCACTCTTGAATAGTTTCAACTGCCGCCTAATCCCCCAACATGCTCAAGAACCCTTTTATGCAAGTCTAGTCTCGAAGAGATAGGATAGAAGCAAGTTAAGTGACTTTCTAGTATGAAATTAATCTATTATAGCGATTCCATGATCATATGAACCAAGTTAGAGAGTAGGCTTCTAAACTTTGAATCATACAATATACTAATGGAGACGTAATGACAAGAATTATGGATTATAATAGTTTCCCTCCCCCCTTCTCTGTGCAGGGAAAAACAATCTCCCCATGCTTTCTAGAAAAAGCTTATTCGTGGCTCCCACTTCCACAACTCCAGGTGGGGTCACCATCACTCGTGTGTGATGCATGCAACCTTTTAGCCTCAAACAAAGCTCTGTCAGGTCGAGTGCTTCTCTAGGGTGAAGTTAATCAAAATTGTAGTAATTCCACAATTCTACGAATCAAACTTGAGAATAGGTTTTGAAATCTGAAATCAAAGAACACATTAATGGAGGCATATTGTCTAAAACTCTGAATTATATAAGACCCCCCTCCCTGGGGAGGGGGATGCATTAAATCCACTCTCCATTTTGTTGCAATAAGTAAAACAGAAGTATGCATTACTATTGAAAACTGCTCTTCTAACATCCAATCTCGGAATTTTTTCTTAAAACGGAATTTTAACATAATTACAAGTCATAATATATTATTAATTTTCATCTATTCAACCAAATAACTTGGCTCCATAACCAAAAACAACAAATATGATTTCCATGATTGAACCCAAATCAATTGTAAGTAAGCCTTCTATGTCAAGCTGACCCTTTTCAGCACCACCTCACTGCATCAGTAGTGAAAATTTCCATTTTCGAACTCTATCCAATTTCAACAAATGTTCAACATAATGAGATACAATATAACTTATCCAAATTGATCCATTAGCATTCTTGATTTTCATTACATACTAATAAAATGGTGCCACTTCTACAAACAAAATAATATTTACAAATCATTCTTCTATATGATTTTTCACCAAAAATATCAAAAATTAAATGGCCGCATTCAATTGACACCAAAATGTTAGCAAGCGCTCAAAATAACAAGGGGAAAAGAGGCAATTCAGGCTGTACTGACTACCGAGTAAAAAGCTTGTGGTAGTTACCATTACAAATTCAACAAAAGCAATACGAGTGGAATGATGATAGTCCCCAAGCAACCTCAAGCGGTGAACCTGTGGCAGACAAGACATCTCATAACATGTAATAGGAACTCGACTAGAGGCAGTATCAGATTTGTTACATAAGCAGCTACAAACCTCTCCGCAAATGGACTCAAAAAATAGTTTGACATCGGCTTGAGTGACCTGATTCAGATAAAATAACAAATCATAAACAGATTTCCCAATTAGAGCTCTATAAGGACATTCCAAAGTACTGTACAAATACCAACAAATTACCTTCTTATCAATGTTTGTGCAATAAATAGTTCTTGCGCACATCTCCCGTTCATCTTCAGACTAGAGACCACAATATCAATCAGTTTCCAAGTACCAAGCAACAATTCTTTTATGACCCTTTTATATATATATATAAGTTTTTTTGTGGGACATGGTAAGTTTAGTCTATATTTAGAGAGAGAAAAAAGTTTTGTAGAGAGTGAAAGAAAGTGGGGTTTATGAATATGACTCTCATATGCGTTCAGTTTCTGGTATTTAAGTTTCCAATTCACAAAAAACTGAACATAGTAGGAAAAAAATTCTTACCCGTGGCAGAAATGTTGGATTAACAGGTGCAATAGCAGTTTTTGAGGGCAAAACTCTAACTGGATAATATCCAAGCATAGTCCCTGCCAGACTCAACGCATTCCTGGCACCTTCTGCAAAGGTATTACAGACAATTCAATGTAACAACACCATGAAATCATCAATTGTAATACAAAGTACTAAGAAAAGTCATAGACATACCCTCATCAGTAAACTCGATAAAGGCAAAACGAAGAACAGAATTAGGATCCCCACAAACACGACAGTCAACAACCTTCAGCTCAAAAATAACGGGATGTCAATGTTTAGAAAGATGGGCATCCATTATCACAAACAAACAGGCATGTCAATGTGATCGAATGAAACACCTTTACCTGTCCACAACTAATAAAAAGGGCTGCAAGTTGCTCTTCAGTAACCTAAATTGAAACCAAAATAAAACCAAATCATAAGATTGTTCAACAAATAAAATAAACTCAAAACCCAAATCAACAATATCCTTCCAACAAAATTTAAATCAGAAAACAGCATACAACTCTTTACCTGATGATCAATGTCAGATACATAAACGGTCCTCCTAATCACATCTTCTCGCTGCGCCATACTGGTCCGGGTATTCATTCTTCTCTTCCCATGAGTATAGCTATTCTTCTTCTGAAAATATAAACCAAATAGACAACATTTGAGTACAATTCATTGGTATGCTATCAAAATTCACAGAATTTTGTTCCATGTTTTCTCAACACCAAACAGAGCATATAATAAAAGATGGAAAATCATACATACCCGTCTGCCAGTATTTCCATTTGCGACGCCTGAATTAGTGTGCATTACAAAATCGTTAGCATAACCAAACGCCGGTGCATGCCCATTATTTGCGAGTGAAGGCGGCACAAATTCTTCAGCCAGAGGGTTCAACTTAGACAACATTTCCTCCAAATCCCTCATCTCGCGCTTAAAACCCTCACCGCCATCGTCTCCATTTCTCAGCAACTCGACGCTGTTCGCCATCATCTGGTGATTCTGGACACCATTGCTGCTTATGCTATGCTGAATTAGACTCATCTGAGTCTTGTGACTGATACTGCCGTTGGTTTGAACAGTCGTTGTTGTCGGCTGTGGAATAATTTTCTGTTGTTGTTGCTGATGAACGATCAACGGAAAATTCTGATCATTTGACCCCAAAATAGGGCTACCGTTGCTCTCTTGTGTCCCCACGTGGTTCGGCTTCGATTGATCGACGACGTCGTTGGACGGACGCGAGTCAGTCCGATTGGATGAGCCAACGTTCATCGCAGCATTTTCAACAACCGCCATGATCGAAGCTTCAACACTCGAAAGACTCCTCCTTTCCCTGATTCTGATTCTGTAATTATGATTTTTGTTCCTCCGATCGATGAAACAGAAAATTCACCCAAGAAAAAACCAGTGAGAAAGACGCAAATCTAAGAAAAAATCGTACCTGATCAGTCTAATTCGTGAACATTGATCAAGGACCTATAAGGATCAAAGCCAATACAGAGAAGAGGCGAGAAGACGCAAAACGGAACACAACTTCTGTTCTTTCTTCTCTGTATGTGCAATTTTACTGATTCAGCAGATAGGGAAGAAAGAAATAAAAAATATATAGAGAGAGAATAAGTTGTAGAGAGAGAGAGAGAGAGAGAATAGTTTTTTCTAGAGAGAGAGAGAGAATAGTTTTTTCTAGAGAGAGAAAAGAGGTGCGTCCTTCGGATCGTCCGTTTTCGCTACTCTACCTTTTTCGACCTTCTTCACAACGTACCAAAATGATGAACAGTGAAGATCCTACGGGCCCACCCTTATAAAAAAATTACATTAGAGTAAAAAGAACATTTTTTTATTTTTTATTTTTTATTTTTTATTTTCAAGAAGTAAAAGAACTGTTCATGCTGTGTATTTGATGAAATAGGCATAGTACAAATATGAATCTCTAAATCCTAATTATATCGTGTGTGTTTTTATTATTGTATACACACACAACACATGCAACGCATTGGTGTTACGGATTTGATTGTGTGAAGCGGATACAGCACCAAAAAGGAAAGAGACAAGAATCGGTTCCCTCCTTTAATTATTCCCAAAAATGCTTTTAGATAGAAATAGGTGACAGAAGAGTGAGTAACATTAATTATAGAAAGTGTAAGTAATTATTTTTATTTGGATCAAACTCATTTTAAATCAGTTAAAATTCATTTTAATATTATCCAATCAAGAATTATCATTCCTAAAGAAGACAAACTAGCAATTCTAAATGTTTATGTTAATATTTTATTGTTCCATATCAGTTATTTATCTTTGTCTCATTTTTAGATTATTAAATTATCTTTTAAATTTTAAATATTTATAATGTTAAGTTGAATTTTTTTTAAAAGTTAATAGGATAATTTCGAAAAGATTGTATATATTTTGTTTGACTTTTCAAAATACATAATTTGAAACATAAAAAAAAGAAAAGGAGATTACTAATATGGAACATATAGATACAAGATATCATGATTCATGGCACATAGGAGGAAGATTTGCTTTTCACATATAGTTATCCAAAAAAATAAAAATTATTCTTGCTTTACCTATAATTAAAAATATGTATTATTTATAAGATTTAAGAAGATAAAATAGAATAAGTAGACAAAACAAGAAGTCCTGGCGTGTTAAGTTTTATCTTTTTTCAATTTTTTTTTTTATTTTTTTTTTTATTTTTTTTTTTTTTATCTACAGCTGTAACAGACTCAGTTTTTAATGTTTGAAAAAATATATATATATATGTATACACTCGGGTTTTTTGATCCGTTGATGTCTTTATTTTACTACGACTCGTTCAAATACGGTTTAAACGTGTTGCAGTAGAGAGATGGGGGAGCATTACGGTGTCGTTTGGTTGCTCTATTAGTAATCGTGACCATTTTTCAACATCCAACCCTGTACCATTTTTCTACTTCCAACCCTGTACCTTGTTTAAGGTTATTGTAATCATGATCATTACTATGTGTACAAAGTTGAGGGTAGATAACTCTACCGTCCACCAATTTACCACCAATAATTATAATAGAAACCGAATTTGAAATCTTAGATTGTGGAGTACTCCATAGTATTTCAAAATAAAAAAAGTACAGTGTACAAGTTTCTAAAAAAATGTGCATATATATATTTTTAACAAATTTAAAATAAGATACTCCAACACACGTTTTTAGAAGTCATTAATAGAATAATTAAGTACTCTTTGTTTCAGAAAGAGTGTTATGTTTGAAAATTGTGACTATATACATATATAATTTGAGACCTCAGTCTTTTTGTGCCCAGCTCTTTGCCATATTTTACTTTATTAGTGAAGGAATTATCAGAATTATTAGTTAGGAGGTTAGAAAGGTAAAATATAGTCACACTTTATGAGATTTGGCAAGAGGATACACAGGTGAAAGTTATTTATATTTTTGATAATAACACTCCTTTAAGTTTGAAAAATGAACGAAGAGACCCCAACAGTGGTAAATTGACTCTATATTACCTTTTAACATAAAATTGATATGTTAATTGACTTAAATATCCTTGGATCGAACCCGAACCCCTTTTATCTCTGTATGTATGTGTGTGTATATATATATACACACACAAACACACTACATAATCGCCGTTGACGCTTGTGTAAAGAACCCATCAGCCGCCGCGCCTCATCCGCCTCATCATCATTGTCATGGTGGTGGTGCTTGAACCCATTGTCATGGTGGTGGTGATGACAATTGACAACACATGATACGCTATTTTTACTTTTCTGTGTGAAAAAGGGGGTCCCATATATGCCCATTTTGTTCCCCTTCACCAATTGGGTTTCTACAATTAATCAGTAAATATGATTATTTGAATAAGGGCTCTTCTGGGTTTATAGCTAATCCGGAACCTTTAGTCACTTGACTAAGGTTGCCTATCAAAGTCGAACCCTTATTGTTCGGATTGAATCTATCTTGGCTTTCTTCTCTAATAGTCAGCCTTGGAATTGTTTAGGGCATCATCGAATCGAAGTCACTGTTCTCACCTTCTCTTTTCCTTCGACACAACACCAACAAACACACACACACACACACAAATATATATGTATATACAGATACATATATACACACACACACATATATACAGGCAGCAATGGTGAATGGATCCGCAGCCTTCATCCTTCGATTCTATTGACCTATAAAGCCTTCATCCTTCGAATCCAACTCAGCTTTGACAGCAGAGGGATCGCCCAACTAGCTTGACTCATCGTAGTCGTCGTTTGGGGATGCGGTGGCACCACTCTAGAAAAGCAGAGTGGGTAGGTGTGGCGGCGGCGGGGGAGGCTAAGGTGTGGAGGCGGCGATCGACAACCCTGCGCCTTCCCCACCAGTGTTGGTGGTGGTGTTGTAATGTGTATAATATATATACATACATATATATGTGTGTGCGCGCCCGCGCGTTCGCCTATGTGTGTATATATATATATGTGTGTGTGTTTGCATAGAGAGAGAGAGAGGCATAGATGGTGTGAACCGTGTGATAGGAAAAAAAGAAAAGAAAAAATGAATAAGGGGCTATTGTGTTATTTTGCAAAGTATGATATTTTGTAATATATCTGAATTTAATATTGAAGGATAATTTTGTTTTTTCATATGACTTAAAAGGTCTGGATAGAATTTTTTTAAAAAAAATGTCATTGTTAAAAAAAATGAGTAACTTTTATCTCTTTTTTATTAAATTTTAGGACACGTTGCTGTACTTTAACATACTTAGAATTATTAGTTATTGAGTAGGTATTAATTATGCCTGTTTAGTTGAGTAATGATTGAAACATAATAATGATAGTTTTAGCAAGCCCCACTCCCAATGTTTTTGCAACTTCCACGCACAATTTGTGTCTTATCACAGGATTTGATTGTGATTTTCCCGGTAAGAATAGCCAAAAATGCAAGTGAAATAGCAACTTTCATTTTCTTTTGCCTAGTTTATTTTTGTTTATAAATTGGATGGATGTCCTTACATTGTAGTTGCGTCTTACACCAACACTGATTAAATCGACAACTAACCAATGCTTGAACCGATTCTCGACAATTTCTCTCCTTGGGCCCACCTGACCCACTAATGATATGCCAACTGTTCTATCTTAATCATATATACTTACAAATTAATCCATCCATTAAACAAAACAATAGCTTAATTACGTTATATTGGAGAGGAGAAGGGACAATAATAAAAATTTTAAATAATTTCAGCAGAAGTAATAATTATATTTTATGAGTATATAATTAAAAAAAAAAAAATTAACAAGAGAATTTTATTATATCTATGTTATTATTAAAAGTGTACAGAGTTTTAGTATTTATTTATAAATATAAAAAATATTTATTAATTAATATAATAGTAAAATTTAAAGGATTTTATAAAATTCTTACACAAATTACCTATATGAATTTTTTTGTTTTCAATAAATATAAGATATTTAGAAGAGTTTCTATAAAACTCAAATTACCAAATAAAATTTAATTAGACAATGAATATATATAGAGAGAAAATATATAATAAAATAAATAATAAAATTTCTCTAATTAGACAAGAAAATATATAAAAGAAGTAGAGTTAAGAGTTTGTATAAAACTAACATAAATAACTTATTTATGATTTTTTATTTTTTTAATTAATATAAGGTAATTTAATTTGAATTCGATCACTACTCATAAATAATTAATTAAATACTCGGTAATTAAATAAGTCGATCCAATGCATGTTGAACTTGGACCTGCCACTAGTCTAGGTTCATTACAATTTACGTTAATGGAGCATAAATTCGCGAGTGCGACTGGCTTGCCGATTCATAAATGGGCTTTTGAAACTTGATTTGTCGCACCAACAGGGTTGTGACTTGTGAAGTATATTGTTTTAAATTTGTTAAATGCATATATATTTTTAAAATATTATAAAAATAATAATTAATTACCGTAAACGTGACAAATGGTCATGTTGTTATCACTACTAGGACAGTTAATCTGCAATTTGGCCTCCTTTTTGAAGATTATTTTTAGATTTTTATACATGGTAGAATCGTGTCGTGTCGTGTCGATTTAAGAATATTCTATTAAATAATTCATTTCAATTCCATCCGTTTAATAATTATGTCAGGAACTCTTAACAGTAACCCAACTTATTTATTAAACAGATTACACGTATAACCCGTTTAATGACTTGTTTAATGAAATAAAAAATTTATTTTTTAATTATTAATAATACTCGATCAAACATTAAATACTAGAAAAATATAAGTTTCAATCTAATCAAATTATTAAATAATCTCTAATCTAGAAAAGAATAAATTATAAAATACAAACTTAGATAGTTATTTTAGGACTTAAATAAAAATTTGTTTATGACGCGTATAGTTTAACGGGTTACACGGGTTGAACCTTTCAATCTAAATACGACGCGATTAATTAAACGAAATTAATTATGTCGACTCGAATCCGTTTAAGATTAACTCAAATCCTTTTAATTAGCATAGAGTGACCGTGTCAAACTTTGTCACCCCTATTTTTATATACCAAAAAATAAAATAGTCTAATATGTTAAAATAATACTAATGACTTGACACGGCTGACCCACCCAATATATATTCCTTAGACGGGGGCTTTCAGTGGCCCAAATATTCCTTCATTGGCTGCGGGCACATTGTCTCTCAAT